GGCTCGACCCGCAGGCAGAAAGGGGCCGGATTTACACCCGAATTTCTCATTCAATAAAAAAGGGTATCCCCCTCCCCTGCCCGGATAGACCCTTCCATGAACGGGTACTGACACCTTCACTGCCACCACAAGCACTGACCAACTCTCCACAGGCTTCCCTGAAAGCAAAACTGCCACTTAGGATAATTGAAAAAACACTTTTATTATTTTAATTTCACCATCTTCCCTCAGGTTACCTCCTAGGAACACATGGCTGGCACAGCCCTAAGGCTTCTCCTACTGCCACAGCTGGAGACACCTGGGAATGACGTTTTCCTCCCCTTCACACAGTTACAACCTGGTCCAGCTTTCTCAGTCTTTACAACTACATAAACAGCAATGAACTGCTATAGAAATAACTATACAGGGAGAAAAAGATACAAAACAACACTGTGCACCTTTAAAAAAAAAAAAAAAAAAAGCAAGAAGCCTTCCTGGCTGAGTGTGCACTGTCAGCCCCAGCAGCACTGAACATGCAGCAGCAGCATCTTAACACTGCTCTGCACAGCAAAAGTCCCTGGGAACAAGGAAATCTCTTAGAAAGATAATTCTAGCAAGATGGCCTTAATACTTCTCTTAATATTTACAAGCCAACTGCCTTTAAAAGGATACTTTTCTTTGTATTTTTTAAGAACATGTAAGAATCTGTAAACAAGCTTGATTTACCACTAAAAAGTGCCCAGCTCATATTTGCGCAAAAGAAGTATTATAATTGAAAAAAAGTTATACAAAATATTTTACTGACTGAAGAGTTAACCATCACCTGCAAAGTGATTCACTACAGGATCATAACAAGAAAAACCTTGCGGTTAACATCAGCACATGAGGGTAGTGATTCTCACTCCCTCCACAAGTCATTGACACAAGATCCAGTGCTGACAGAAAATAAGAGCTCCTGCAAAGGCTTCAGACACTCTCCTCATCAGTATCGCCTATTCATCTTCTTGAACTTCTCATAGTGATAATCATCTGTTGCTTTTTCATTGGGTGGCCGTTTGCGATTTGGAGGAGATCCTTCAAAAGAAATACAAGGAAATATTATTTCCTGTCCTTTCACATGTGTAACAGAAAGGAAGAGATGTTCCCTTAACACTACCACCTTTTCTGTGAATTCCCCTAAAGTCACCCACTATTGACAGCCCTTCACTGTGTGAAATTTGATCATTTTCTTAAGTCAATGCTCCTTAACCCAGCGCCTCTAGCTACTCCATCCCTCTCCTCACACCCCTAGCAATCAAATTTGTCAATGTTTCAATCCTGACCTTGTGCTACCGCAGCCTTGGATATCGTTAAAGACATCTTCTATCCAGATGGTTTAGTGTGTGACCTAGTAGGGGCATCATCAAGTGCCAGAGCCTCCCAAGGGACTTCAAATACAGACTGCTCTACCTCCCCGCTATCTCTGCACACTCATGTTCAAGAGAAGGCAAGAAGAGCTACATCATTACTCTGTGCAAGATCCCCGAAGAATTTCAGTATCTCTACTTAAACAATGTATCTGATGAGGAACTTACGCTCAGGTTCTGGCCTCTCTGTATCTCCCACTCTCAGTGGACGGGGCTTTGGCTCTTCTTTATTCCTTCTCACTGGTGCATTTAGCTCCTCATGATAAACTGAGAAAAGGAAGACATCAGATATAGAGTATTAACAGTTTTCCAGTAGTGCAATCCAAATGTACGCATCTCTGCAGCATTTGTTACAACTAAGAAATAACACAACGTCACAACAAGCACTCTTCTAATTTGTTTCTACGAATAATCAATTCATTCAAGATGGAATCCATCAAACTTCAGGAGCACTAGTTCATCAGTAGTAGTTGCAAGACTCCTCATTTCCTTTGGAAAACACAAATCTGAGTCCAGATCAGCGCTGCAGGCGGGGTTAGACCCATCAGAGGGCTGCCTTTCCTCCAGATGGCTGCAGGATGAGAGGCTCTCCAGGAAATTAATTCCCATCTCCTGTCTAGTAAGATCTATGTTTGCTTGACCACCTGTCCACTTTGGCAACACACAGAATGGCTTCTCTCCATCATAAACCATCATTTATAATCACAGACTGGGCAGGCTTTCCCAGCACATGTTTGAGATATAACTTAAAGAAAACGCCTTAAAATTTATGAGGCATAGTCAAGAGACTGTCAAGGGAGCTCAAGAGCAGAAGGTTAAGCCATAAGTACTATGTCCTTCCCTTTCTTGCTTACGGATGGGGGAAAAAAAAGGCCAAACCAGATGGGCATCCCAGAAAAAGGAATCAGACAGCTGTTTGTGCTGATACATTAACTATTTTCTCCTGCATCCGACTGCATCCCAACTGGCTGCCTCTCTTTGGCAGAAGAGCAGGTCACACCTGGGTCAAGAGAGCTCTGCGAGACTTACATCTGTTGTGCTGGACATAGTTGACAGCCATGTTTGTGGGAACAAAGGAAGTTTCACTGTCTTTCTTCTTGTTCTGTTGCTCTGCCAGCAGCTTGGCCTTGGCCTCTTCAGTTGAGATTATATTTTTTATTTTTGCACTGAAAAAAAGCAAAACAAAACAAAACCTACTTATTCATGGCTACAAAGAGTGGCAGGCAGGCACAGAAGTTGTTCTAAGTGAATGGTTTGGGGTACAGTAATAGCACTCATATTGCACTTTATTTTTTTAACTTTTTTTAAAGAGGAGGCAGCGCTACAAAAACGGGTGCTTTGTCTCAATGGGAAAAGGAAACCTCAAACCTTTTCATATCCTCTTTCAGTGCAAGGCATAAACTGATCCTCCAAAAAGCTGCTAGACTGCAGTCACAAAACTCAAGAGCTTCTCTTCACAGATCAGCTCTGGTCCTGCGCCACAGCAGCCCTGGTCAGTGCAGGACACCCTGCTCTAGACACTGTGCTCATCAAGAACGAGTCCAGATGTGCCACTGTCCTGCTAACCAACCATTTCTAGTCACAGAACTC